TACCAGATTCTGTCTGCTAACTGCACCAAAAGCAAGTCCCTTTTCTCTTAAAATGCAAAAAATTATTTTATAGCTTCAAGCAAAAATAGCTTGTGTTTTCTGTTAAGTTCAAGATGACAAAGAGTGTTAGATCAAAGGACAATACTGTTTCCGTTTTAGAAGGCAAATGAATGGAAAGAGCCACTAAAAACAATAGATTATTGTAGTCTACAAAAGAGATCCTGAAGACAGCATGGGGCTTATTTATTCATAAAGGTCTTAGTTTTTACATTTTTATAACAAACTTTAGTGATCCTGTCTACTCCACTGCTCTTCTGAGTCTTTAGAGAAGTCAGAATAGGCCTCAGGAGACCTTTCTTCACCTATTTTGGTCTGGATCATGCTTTGACCTTGCTCCAAGTCAAATCCACACCTCCTTTAGCTCACAGTATGATACTTGCTTCTCCCACACTTTTCTCTCTCATTTTTCTGGCAGTTTCAAGACATGTGCATATTGAACCTAAAATTCAAGTATTTGTTACTAAGCTTCTTATGATTAACATCAACACCTCTCAAATGCCTTAAAGCATATGCTAATTAACCCAGCATACTATCAGATTATAGCAGTCTACTGAAATCATTTTAGCATCTTTCAAAACACATTTCTTCTCTACCTCGCATACAAACTCAATGAAGAAACATGGCATATTTATTTACTTATGACAGTACAAATGTAAGATACAAAAGGAAAAAGAAGTGGGAGATTAATTTATTCCCCCACAAGCAAACACTACAATGAAAGCATTTTTATAACATAATCCAATTATTTTTCTTGAGAAAAAAAGCATGTATTATTCAGTTCCCTTTGGAAATTTGCATCCAGAACAACGAAAATAATAATAGTAATAACTGAAGTTTTAGATGGAAAAAAATCTCCAAAGCATTTAATCCATTTGCTTATATTCATTCCACACTTACATGTCACAATCCATAATCCACAAAACTGAAGCGTGACCTCAAGGCTATTTTGCATACCCATTAGAAGTCCATGGGGCTGTAGCATATCCTGCTTAATTAATGAATTCCATCAGCTGAATGCCAAGTCAAATAAAGAACAGACTGAATATGAGCAGCATACTTATCTGAAACTGAAGTCCAGAAAGCTTAAACAAGCCAGATTTTCAATCAGACATCTCAACTTAATGATATAGCATCAAGAAACCTTCAGTTCAAAGGTAGTAATTATATACCTTGTAATACTCTCAGTATCAATATGTTTACAATTGATCACCGAACTTGTATCACAAAGGAATATAAGCCTGACAGTCAAATGCAGCAAATAGCTTCCTGATGTTCAAGTAATAAATGTTCCATTCAAAACAATGACAGAAACAGTAACAACTCTAGCTTTATTCAGAAGGGTCAGCTTTAACACATCTGGACAGAATGGTACAGAGCCAACTCCTTTAATCTTTCCGCTACCCTTTCAAAGCTGGCCAGGAGGTTCTACTTTATATGAACTTTGTTTTCAAGGAGACATGGTCTTTTTGGGCCTCCACTCATATTTAGTGGCTGTGAATGGTAATGGATGTACCATCTGTGCATTGCTGTTCTAATGCTTCATAAATCAGTGACAGCCAAGGGAATCTAAACTCCTGGCCTCCTCATACCCTGACACTGTCCTCTCTTAAACTGCTTGACTTGGTCATTCTGTTCACAGTGTCAAAAGCTGCACTACTGCCTTGCATTTCATGGATAGTTTTCCTGACTCCAGGGCCTTCATGTTGTATTCCTTGCCTGAAACTGAAGTGGAAACAGCTATAAAACTTCTGACACATACATAACTAAGGTCTCGTGTGGCATTGTAATACTGAGAAAGACAGTACTTGTCAAAAATTGTCATTTGCAGTTAACATTTTTTCAATAAAGTTCTCTCACATACATTCTAACGTGACAGATATTGAGCAAGATCAGAGCCTTTAAGAACTCCAAAAGAAGTCTGGATCATGTGTCTTAGCATTTCATGCTGAAAATATTCTCACCCCTTAAAGGCAGGTCATTAAAAATGTTATCATATCTATTAGTAAATGATTCATTTTTCATCTTGTTAAAGAAATTAACTGCCCACTCAACTCTATGACAGAGATATCTGGAGTTTGGTCTCCTGCCTGCAATCTCAGGGCTGCATATCTAACTTCAGAAAGCCAGACAGCTTGCAGCGGTGTCAGAAGACTGTTAGGGTTGGGCACCTCTCAAAAAATTCAAACTTCTGGAGGATGTTACATAAGACCACTGAATGCTACTGCTTGACCAAAGAAGCATTTTGGTGGAAGTTCAAGTATGAATAAAGAAAAGAAGCAGCCAACATGGTAGCAGAGGAAAGTGGGTTTTTTTAAAAAATTGCACTAGGTAAAAGGTCCCAGATCACTATCGCTGATAAAACTTGTTCAGTATAGTCAGAAAATCACGTGGTTTAGCTTGTATTCATAGACAGGCATTCCAGAAGAATAGTTTCCTTTCAAAAAAGGAGGATATGATTTTGGTCGATTTCTGGTTTTGATACCTTTAGCAAGCAGCTAAAAAAGATGTAAATACATATATACTCTAAAAACAGTGAAAGGAGAAGTTATTCTAATCTTGTAAATTCCAATGCCACGTTAGTTATAAAAAGCAGATTCATCGTGTCTATTTTTCTTCCCATTTTACTCTTTAAAAAATGTATATATATTTTTTTATGTATACTTGTATATATTGTAGACAAAAGCATATATACGTGGAATATCATATTTTTCCTCTGTTTAGAGGCAAAAAAAAAAATGTAAATTTTCCTCTGTTTAGATTTTCATACAAAACATAGGCAGACAGATAGCGTAGCCTGAATATAACTTAGAAGCCCCTAAATCTGTTTCCTACAAACAGGCAGACACACAGATGGGCTAAAACTGATGATGGTTTCAAACTCTCCTAGGGTTACCCCATAGCAGTAGCTTGATTCAGCAATAACCGTTACTTTTCAATTACTCATGCCAGAATAGCATTACAATACTGACTACAACTGCAGACAGCATTGCAAACCTTGCAAATTTCAAGACATCTACTAATAACAAGGGCAATTTCTTCCATGGAGCCAGATATCTGAAAAGAAAAGCAACATATTTCAGCTTTCTTCTGTGAAAGATCCAATTCACTGATCATGTTCTGCCAGCCTTTGTGTTCACTACTGTACGTATCTAGTTAGCAGGCCTCTTCAATCAAGTTTCCAATCACCTTTGCAAGAATGAGGTGAAGCTATACTTAATAATTAGTTTCAGGTATTCTTTCATGTCACATCAGCATATTTTAGCAATGCTCCTGCTATGCAATATTACTACTGTGTTTGTTTCTTAATATACTTGAGCCAGAAACTGACAGAGGACCAGATATGAAAATTGGTTCGTTTTCTGAAATGGAACTGTCACAGACTAGCTAGTCACAAACCTCAAAGTGTACCATAATCCACATTCTCCTTCAGACAGATTCTTTTGTTAAAAGCCCACTGAAGAAAAGCTGAAAAGACAGAGTATTTGCAATATAAAAGATAAAATCATAAATGCTGATGATGACAGGAAGCTACTAAAATTTCAAGGAACAGGGCCCGTGAATCTATCAAAACAAGAAACATGCATTTCATATATTTAAATCAGAAATGCACTTTCAGAGTGCCGCTAACACTTCTAGCATGACAGAGTAAAACCAATTCTGAATAATTCTACACCAGAAAAGCAAGAACATTATTTCTTTCAAGACAGGAGATTCCTTGCTATCCTGGAAAAAGGTATTTATGGTATATCTATAATGCTTTGCATACCAGTAGAATCAGGAAACCTATTGTGCCTTTTTTCCTGAGTCACCTATGCAGGTACACAAAGGAGGTGCAGCTCCCAGTCACTGAAACCTCCACACCAGACACTGCTGAGTGCACAGCAGCATCATCAAGGTGCAGAGTTGCCCAGAAGTTTTGCTAACACATCTGGTTGTTTGTCTTGGTATTTTTCTTTTAACTGTAAGAATTCAGTAGATGTACTGGGAAGTCCTAAGTTGGAAAAAAGAATAAAATAATACCACAGATCCTACTTAAAAAGAGCAAAAACGCTTGTAATCAAGCAAGCTACAGACGTTGGTGATTTACATCGTCATGGTTTATTTCTAATGCTTTACGCTATACTTCATCTTTATCAATGAGCAAACTGTAAACAAGAAAGAAAGCTTCCTCCACAAGGAAGAGAAGCATTTCAGACCATATCTACAGCTCAAGCTGGCTCAGGCGTGAAGGCAAGCATCAGCACCCTACAAAGACAAGATGTTAAATAGAAGCACGCTATACGAAACAGAAACATAAATGACACCTTAATGGCATAAATTACTTGCGTGTGACAGTTTTAAACAGCAAGTGTTAGCTACAGGAAAAGGGTAGTTTCAAGCAACAAGCAGTGCACTTTGTTTAACTGGTATTTTAATAGTTAAATATACAACCCCCTTTTTTTTTTCCTGAACTTTGGCAGAAATAATTAATCTAAGGGAACTCTGATGACCTATATTTCTGAAAAGTGAAAAATAACAATTTAAAATATTAATGTCAATTTTCCTATGGTAGTGACAACTGAGACCTTTTTGTATCCACACAAAAGGAAGCATGCTTAGCTGAAATGGAAGAGACATTCTCACACACTGCACTTACGTTCTGAAAATGTGTGGAAGCTTATCTACAAGGTATGGTAACCTAAATATTCCATTAAATAGCTTTTGCTTTTTAAAGAGATATCAAGAATTTCTTCTGGTCTGAACTGGTAACAGGTAATAGTTTCTGTTTCAAAGGAAATACTGTATACCACTGATACAGGGTTGGGTTTTTTAAGATCCATAACAATACACAAAGATCAGAAGTCACAATGTACTTCAAACTGCATAAATTGTGCTTGATAATTATGTTCCTCTTCAGAAAACAACATGCACTTAATAATGACAAAAGCCAAGGATTTTACCTGCTAGGCAGCAACATACAGTCAATATCAGGTCTCTTTGTCTTGGGAATGGCATACAGTGGATACCTATCGCCGTGTCGAATCAACACTTGGACTGACACCAGCTTAAAATAATGAGGTGCATGTCCTAAAGTGAAGAAAAAAAAAAAGAGAGTAAAAAAAAAGAAAAACAGGGGAAAAATGTAAAAAGTTAAGTAAATGTTACCTAAATCTTTCCCCCGAACATTTTTTCTTTAAGTAAAAAAGCAGGTACAATTAGTTTGATAGCTTTGGTATTGCAATGAAAGAAAACACCCATAAGAAACGGTAACTTACCATCCCAAGAAAAACAATTTCTACAGGACTTGGGTGCTTAGCACATTCTACATAGTTCATTTAAAGTCCAACAACCATACAAGATGTTATTCAATCACTGAACTCTGCCACCCCACTTTCATGATGACTCTCTTCCAGATGCCTACCACAGTAACAGATTTTGCAGCATGCCTAATTCAGAGCTTTTTGATAGTTTGTGGTTGTACTGGGTTTGCGTGGCAAGGTCTTGGTAGCAAGGGGCTACAGGGGAGTTTTCTGCGAGAAGCTGCCAGAAGGTTCCCCCGTGTCCGCCCGAGCCAACGCCAGCCGGCTCCGAGACGGACCCGCCGCTGGCCAAGGCCGAGCCCAGCAGCGATGGCGGTAGCGCCTCTGGGGTAACGGATTTAGGAAGGGGGGAAAAACACCCGAGCGCCTGCAGCTGGAGAGAGGAGCGAGAACACGCGAGAGCAACAACTCTGCAGGCAGCAGGGCAGCGAAGCAGGAGGGGCGGGAGGTGCTCCAGGCGCCGGAGCAGAGATTCCCCTGCGGCCCGAGGTGCAGCCCGTGGGGAGGCAGGCTGGGCCCTGCAGCCCGGGGAGGCCCACGGAGGAGCAGATCTCCACCTGCAGCCCGGGGAGGACCCCGCGCCGGAGCAGGGGGATGCCCGAAGGAGGCTGTGACCCCGCGGGAAGCCCGCGCTGGAGCGGGCTCCTGGCAGGGCCCGTGGGCCCGTGGGGAGAGGAGCCCGCGCTGGAGCAGGTTTGCTGGCAGGACTGGTGACCCCGTGGGGGACCCACGCGGGAGCGGTCTGTGCCGGAGGGACTGCACCCCCTGGGAGGGACCCACGCTGGAGCAGGTCGTGAAGAACTGCAGCCCGCGGGAAGGACTCACGTGGGAGAAGTTCGTGGAGGACTGTCTGCCGTGGGAGGGACCCACGCTGGAGCAGGGGAGTGTGAGGAGTCCTCCCCGGAGGGGGAAGGAGCAGCAGAGACAAGGTGTGATGAGCTGAACACAACCCCCATTCCCCGTCCCCCCGCACTGCTGGGGGGGAGGAGGCAGAGAGAATCGGGATTGAAGTTAAGCCCGGGAAGAAGGGAGGGGTGGGGGGAAGGTGATTTTAAGATTATTTCTCATTATCCTACTCTGAATTGATTGGTAAGAAAGTAAACTAATTTCCCCAAGTCGAGTCTGATTTGCCTGAAATGGTAATTGGTGAGTGATCACTCCCTGTCCTTATCTCGACCCATGAGCGTTTTGTCATGTTTTCTCTGCCCTGCCCCTCAGAGGAGAGGAGTGATACAGCTGCTTCAGTGGGCACCTGGCCTCCAGCCAGGGTTGACCCACCACAGTGGTGTATTTTATAGGCATTAGTGGGATATACTAATGAATGATTCATTCAGGGTAGATGGCTGCTGCAGCCCACTATAGGGTGAAGAATGCAATTGTGCCTTCTATCTGACTACATCTAATGGTTTGGAGTTCCAAAATTAATTACCTCCATTTTGGTGAGGTTTTTTGTTTTGTTTTTTTCCCAGAATTCCAAGTTAGCTGTTTTTCACGTTAATAATAGTTTGCAATGCAGCTCACTTGTAGTAAGAATTACGATTCAAATATTAAACATCTATATCACTCCCATTCCTTTCAATTTTAGACTTCCAGTTGATCCTTGACTAGAAACAGAACCACTTCCAAAAATCAAGACAACAGAGAAGATACAAAGTGAAGGAAAGAAGAACAGTATATTTTGAATGATTTAACATAATTCATCAACCCGCTGGAATTTGCTGCACCTTCTCCAAGCGCCAAAGAACTGACAATGCACAGTTATGATTTCCAGTGACAGCATTGAGAAACAAGCAACTAAACTGTTGTTTGCACTCACAAAGCTTACCTTCCATGCTGCGTTCAGAAATGGTGGGAATATTGCAGTAAACGTGAGCTTCATAAACAGGATCTATTACAGGAGGCTCAGTCAGCAAATCAGGCATTATTCTCTTTCTGCTCTTAGGATTCAACCCATCTTCCCTCACAGGGTTTACTGGGATTAAATGCACTGAAATATATAAAACATACACCGTATAAATTTAGGAGTATTTAAGGACATAGAGGACTATGGCTTTTTTTACTTTTTTTCTCTAAAGTAATTAGGCACAAAGACTATGATTTCCACAAAAGGACATCACTCTACAGTACAGATCTTTGTTGTGAATTTTTCATGATTTACACAGTCAAGAAGGCAAGGCCAGGATGCTCTTTAGCAAAGCCAGTGCTTGGCTAAGAGTACAGAAATACATGTGAACGTAGAACAACTTTGCCTTTTGCACTCCTCTTGAAGCTGCTTTTCCTGTCAGTCTCTCATGAAGCCCTAAGAGCATGAATAGGAAGAAAAGGGCTATAAGAGGCTCAGCTGTGTCTCATCATTTTAACTGAAAAAACTGATGTTGAAGGACATCAGCAAAAGACACAGCATAGTTATGACGACGGTAATACAAACCATGGGGAAAACAAAGTAGTCAAGATTTAAAGGGGGTGGATCATCCATCATTTTCCCTACTAATCCCCACCCTTACATGGCTATTTTACCAGCCTTAAATAGTCTGACTTATCTAAAGAAAACACACACAAAATATATTTGTTGATATGTAACCGAGGCAGACTACCACAAACAAATGTCAAATACAAAGAAATGCAGTTAACGATTACACATAGCAGGGAAATTAACAGAAATACCACAACTAAGTCTTCTGACATGCAAAAGCATGCTGAAGCATATCTGAATTTAAGGCCAGAGTTGTACTGACAAGTCTGTTTAGCTTGTCTTGATGTGAAAGCACTAGTTAATTTATGAGCCTTACAACACTACACTTGTAATAACAAAAGTACATTTTTTTTCCTATTAGTATTTTCCGGTATTTGAACAAGAAGACTTAGAGGTGAAAAAGAGGAAGAAAAGTGTTTATATTTTTACTCCTATTAGTCTTCTGTGGTGAGAGGGAAAAAAAGAAAGAAGAAAGAAAGGAAGAAAAAAAAGACAAGAGAACAAATTTCAAAGCAGTATTTTACTAATTCTTCTGGGTCAGTTTCTCAGTTGCATCTTCACTCCCAGTCTTAATTTTAGAGGTGAATTTGTTTTGCAATAGAGAGTTATGCAGACAAAGAAAACCAATGAAGACAGCAAACTGAAGTGAAACACAAAGATATTAAGAGCATGTAGCCATTAATATAACACAGATTCTTCATTCTTATACTAGAATACACTACACTTTTAATATTTTTCTGTGGTTTCTCTTTGCCTGCCAAAACCAAGATTCAAGCATTTTCCATACCCTCGCTAGTGCTGTTGACATGGCAAATACCCACAAAGAGCAGGAACTTTAAACTTTTCCTTAAACTGTTTCAGATTTTGCATATGACTGCCCACAGCACTGTTCTTGGCGAGAATATTAAACTGTAATTTTGACTCTGGCCACTTAAACTGCAGAGCTCAGCTGACATTCCAGCATTTATTTATCGGATTCAATTTTTAGCTCCTTCCATGCTAAGACTCACAATACTGTGAGCCATTGCAAACTACTGACCAAGGAACTCTAGTAGTAATACAAAGCCTTGGCAATATGTATTAGAGGTTGATAACTCTGGCTTAAAGGGGGCTTGCAGCAAATTTGTATTTAGTATATAAATCCCAAACCTACGAATGTGTTAGAACAGTCACTGGCCTTCACAAATAAGCAGTGTTATAAGACAGCAGTCTGAAGAGTATAAATGGGAAATTGCAGCAGTTATATTGGTCAAGTTTCCTAGTCAGAAAAGGTTAGGAGTAACAGGTTTCAGCTTTTTGTTAACAATTTTCTCTAGAGCAACCCATAACATTGCTGCTGCTCATATAATGTCACAAAAAACATAGAGAGTTGTCTTAAGTACTCAGGTTGGTAATGTAACTCAATTCAGCTTTGACCCATGAGTGTTTCAGAAGACAGGGGAAACTATACCCCAATAGCAACAGCTATGAAGTCTGGTGCCAAAATTTGGTTAGGAAATTAAAGGAAATATGCAAAATTAGCAAAATAAGGAACCCAATTTTTGACCTAAGGCAGTTTTAATTGCAAAAAAACCTGAACAGATCATGTTTTTGTATTGAGACTATTAACTACAGCAGCGAACAGATGCATACATTTTTATTAAGACCAACTGCCTGTGATTCACAGAGCCAAATATTTTGTTTACAGATAGCAATCTCATTCTAATCAAACTAACTGAAGTAGTACTTTAACAGTGCCAGACAAATTTAAGAACAAGGAAAAGCACAAAATCTTAAAAATAAGTATCTACTTTATTTTAAATATTAAACATAAAATTTAATATTAAAAACAGCACCTCAAGGATTATCAGATGACATGTCTGTTGTTTACAAAAGCCACTGGCAAAACACCCTTAAAGAAGATTCTTAAATCAACACAGCAGTTGGGTACAACATAAGACTATCATGTGGACTGGAAATGGACTCAGAGACTAGGAATAACAATAGTTTATGTCATTAGTTTTCAAAAAGTTTATCAAAAAGCTATCCTAAATTTCTAAATGCTGCTAACTATATTTATTAATTACTTAGCAATAGCTGGTAAATATTGACCTTATTGTACAGTGAATAAACTTGGCTTATACCAGGGAAGAAGGGACACAGCATTTTTCAACTAAACTGCTACCACCCTGCCCACTTCCAAGTATCTCAGATAGGGACTGGGCTAAAGGAACTTCTTACTCAACCCATCTAAGACATAACCACATTGTCTGGATTTCTGAACACATCTGAGCAACTGGATCTAGTGAAAAATATCCCTGTCCATGGCAGGGGAATTGAACTATATGATTTTTAAGAAGTCTCTTCTAACCAAAACCATTCTATGATTCAACTTAAATGATTCAAAATGTTTGTAGGTTTGCCAAACAAAATTACCAAGAAGATCAAAAATTGCTAGGCACCTAAACAAGCTTTGTCACAAGTAGTATTTCCTTTTAACACATGTGAAATGACACATATTGGGGAAACCACACACCAAACACACCCCAAACATTACCTAAGGAAAAAAAATCATATGATCTGGCCACCAGTCTAGGCAGTACACTGGAAGTTTCCACCAAATTTATGTATTTAAAAATAGCAAGGATTTCAGAAGAGGGGGGGAAACAAGACCAAGGACAGATGATTTTCAGCTGCAAAGCTGCCTTCTGTTTGCTCAGCCTTATCAGCATGGGGAACACGAGGAGCCAATCCAGCAAGGCTGGTTGCTGTCTTCTCTTGCTAAGACTCCTCAGAAACTGTAATAATCCTCTAGTTTCACAGCTTTGATAGGAGGACCCCAAGTAACACAGCCCCTCTTGGTGCTTCTGGCTGGTCCAAATAATGACAGAAGTATTTTCCATACCAACAGCTAAAGTCTCAGTTGTCTCAACTTTTCCTCATTTTCTGCCATTTCCTGGACATTGTTAGTGCCTCATATTTATGTTTTCTCCTTTCTCCCTGTCTTTTCGAGTACTTGGGCTTCATGCTCCCTTGCTGACTTAATTATCTTGTTTCCTTGATGCCATGCCCTTCTCTTCATGCCTCATTGTCTGCCGCTCCCTATTACATTGCGGGCTCAATCTGTTCCTCTATTTTAGTACCCCTTATGACACATGAAGCAGTTTGAAAGCTGGTTGAAGAGCTGAATGTCTCTCTGTATCCAAGTCTTTATTTACTGGAAGTCTTCCTCAGCAGTGTCAATCCTACCTTTGTCTCTCAGGTGGGGTTTCTGGTGCATATATAACTAGCAGACCTATAAACAGAACTGAACTGACACAGCTCCAAGAATGAAAAAAAAAAAAAAAATTACAAAGTCCCTCATGGAGTTGAAATTACTCTTCTTATCCAAACTCTGTTCTGCTCTTTCCTCTATAAATCATTGTAAGATCAGAATTCTATTATTACATACCTTTCACACAACTTTTTATAGCTTAGCACTATTTTATATGACTTGCTCTATTAGTTCACAGTAATATGCACTTGCCCAAAACATAAGTCTGACAATGTGTATACAGTCATACTTAAATCATTGATTAAGGGAGTTTTTAAACAGGATTTTTCTCACTGCTGTGCCTTTCAAAGTTAATGTTTTACTATAACAGTAATACAACAACTGAAAACAGAAACTAAACAGATGATTTTGATGTGTCTATCCCCCACACAGGGCAGTTAAAACAATATATCTAAAACATATTCGATGTTCTAACTGAAAGTTTGCCAACACTAGAACTATAAAGAATAAGTACATTTGACTGTAGAGGTAATTTGACAAAAACATATTTCATTTCCCAACATTCATAAACTTGTTTTTTAAACTAAAGAAACTACATAGAGACTACTTTGAAACATTCATTTTGAAGAAGTTCTATCTAAGAAAAAACTAGAAGGCTTACAGAAACCATAAAATGAAAGAGACCTCAGTGCAACTCTGCTCAGTGTCCCACTGAGTTAAAATTGTTAGAAACACAAAGTAAAACTAAACACATAGGATGGTATCAGAGAAAAGTAAGACCTGATTGAAGAGTCAAACAGCAAATGATGTCCTGTGAGAGACAGAGGGGCACTGGTCACACAGTAGACTAGCTAAGTATTGCTGTAGAATCACTCCCAAGAATTTTTGCAGCTCCAGCTCCAAACCAAACTCTGATTTTTTTTTTTTTTTTAAGTTGACACAATACAGAGGAAATAAAATCCAAACTTAGATACTAAGTTCTATTACACAAAAAACATCCAGCAATTTGTATTTTAAATCAAAACACAGAACCTGAAAACCAAATTTTAAAATGAAGTTAACAATTTGACTAAAAAATGTCTTTATGAACAAAACAAACAGCATGTGAAATATTAGGACATATGGGTTTATTTTCCATGTACTTTAAATACGGCCTAAAGAGCAAGAAACTAATTCATCTGACTTCCATACCCCCCCCCTCAATTCCTGGCTGTCAAAAAATATACCAAAAAAAGACAAATATTCGACAAGTAGTTTCTAA